CCATTTTACGTCCTGGACAATGTATCTCGTTTTGCGTGCAATTGTCTTGTAGGGTCAACGGCACTGAGGTATTTCGTAGAATAGGTCGGAATGCAGTTTAGCAACGTGATGAGTATACGGAGCCGAACTGCACTAAGGCACTAGGTATTCCGCAAATATGTGAAGGTAATTCAGTCAGTGTACTAGGAAGCGCTGGAATGGTGCCTAGCCCATCCCTAGCCGTGGCACAGGGCCAACAGTAATAAATAGATAGCGCCTTCGAGTGATTATAAGTTATGGAATTTTTATATATGTCCGTATAAGGCGATTCAGTATGGAAGTTTGCATATTTATGTGTTGAATATAAACAATTAGCATTATTAAGGGTTTGATGATATTCTTGTTAGAATGACAGTTAAGTTGCGGTTGGATGGCCTTCAAAGGAGTATTTAATTTTACACGTGAAGGCGGACGTGGATTACGGAAATGACGTTAATTATCTGTAATATTCTGCGTGTATCGCCATGGGCCGACACACCATTGGGAATTCAAGGCGCTCCACGAACGCTGCGCTATAATATATGCAACGTGCTTGTATAGGAAGTGTTAAATTTAAAATATACTACATGTTTATTATAATTTTAAAGAATTAAAAATAAAAAGTTATTTTTGTCATTGTTTTTATAGACTGCGATTTTTTTATTGCCTATTAATTTTTAGTATTTTTTTTTGACTTATGAATTATAATTTCATTCTTCTTAATTCTTAAATTCAACTGTTTGCTTTAGTAATTTGTAAGATACATTTTCGTGTTTATAAAGAGAGGCACTTCAGTGTTTCAAGTAGGAGGAAAATATGTGCTCGACAATATATTTGCAGGCGCCTCGCGTTTATGCGTGTAATGATGGTCAACATATTGAAGATTTATTTCATTGCTTACGATCGCCGTTAGCTTGCAGGTTTTGGCAATGAAATCGAATTAAGATGCGGTCAAGAAAGACGAAAACAAGACTATTTATAAAAAAATTTAAAATCATAAAGCTACCAAGGAAGACTATTGTAATTCCCCTTCTATGTCTTGTAATAGTAGCATGAAATATAAGCAAATTAACACATTATTTGTAATGTCAGTTTGTCAAAAAAATTAAGTAACTAATTTAAATTAAGATGGAAAAGATAAAATGTCTTTCTAAGCTTGGATTATATTTTTCAATCAAAATTATATTGCAGATTATATTGGTATGTTTGTTCACATTTTTAGATATGTCTTTAAGTTATTGAACGACCTTGTTTTAGAATGTTTTGATAGTAAAACTTGTTCTGAGTGACGTCATCAAGCAAAGCTTTGGGAATTTGCGCGTCGACGGATTAGAAGCCTTTGATCGGCATTGACCTTATTAACATTTGACAAATACTTGATGTGAAACTATAAATTTGTATGTTTATCTTTTTCGATGTTAAATGTAAAATTGAAATTATCTGGAAGATCGCAATTTATCTAACGTTTCTAATTTGGAAATTCCGTAAGAATAAACATAAGAAAGCGAATTTTATCGAGATTCATTTGTTATTGTTTTTTTTAAATAACACTGGAAGAGAAAAGAGAAGTAGTGTAAGTGACCACAACTGCCAATCAATATCTGCATAGAGAATATGGTAATAAAGGTAAAAGCTTATTTAATAGAAAAATAAAGAAGAAAAAACAGAGAATGACTAAAGAGGAGAAGCACTGTACGATTCTAAAAGAGGTGAAAACAGAATGTTAAGCTGCAGGATTTTTTTCATTATAAATGTATATTTTTATTCAGAGTTTCGTCCCAAATTTTTTACGTTGATGTTTTTGTCCTCAGTACGCAATATGGCTACAAATGATATATTTACAAAGTAATTCAATCAGTATTTGGTAGTTTGTAGAATTTTAGTGCTTTCATATATTAACTAAATCGATACATCTGATTCTTAACATAACGGTATTATGTTTCTTCAAATGGTGCTCGTACACATGTCGATGCATCGTATGAATCACTTCGATTCATTACAGTTCACAGTTCGATGGCTGCCTCATTATGTACACACACCAAGTAACCTTGGACAGCATAATGATACCTACGGGCACACACATTTTATTTGTAAGCAAATATATAAAACAGGAACAAATAGTGATTAACTCTTCTTCTTCTTCCTTAGTTCTACAGCAATTTGTGGTCCTTGGCGTGGTCAAGCATTTTTTTCCACTTCGGTCTATTAGAGGCTCCTTTGCGTCACGATTTACACCGTATACCTATCATAACTTTGGTCTTCCTCGATCTCGACGACCTTCAGGGTTGCTCGACATTAATTAGATTATCATATTTTTCTTAAATTGTTAACGTCCGATGTATGCCTCTTACTACAGTTAAGATCAAATAATGTAATTGGTACAGAAGATAATTTTAATATGTTTTTTTATACTATAAATACTAATGGCTAGATTTGAAACAACGACGACGCCTTGTGTTGTGAACAATTCAAAGCGATGTTTTCGATTGACTTTTAACAACATTAGTATCAATTTATGGAATAGAAAGAATTTTATAAAACAAACCGCTTAAATAATTTAAACATTGTGGTATACACATACTTCTGTATATAACAGTAAGAGACTATATGATTTTATATAAGGAATAATTCATAACTTCCTGCGTCATAACCGTTGGCTTCCACTGACACATTCATACCAAATTAAACTAAAATATTTAATTATTATTACAATCTAATGGTTTACTATTTCATTAAACAACAGACGTATGTAATTACGTCAATCGATGCGTCTTCATTTCTTAGGATATGTTCGACGTTTTCCCTAAACTTACGTTAAAAGATCGTTTTAACTAGCGCATAGTAATTGCAATAAAATCGATTCACAGTACCAAAGCTTATAAATCAAGATAATTATATAACAAGTTAATGTACACTATTGAGGAAACTTAACAATTGTAATTTTGTAAATGAATCACAGCGTTACTCATAAAGCTTATGTGAAACTTTCCTAGTTCATTGACGTAGTTTATGGCGTAGTTAGAACTGTATGTAGGACAGAAAATGATTTGGCGTGTGCTGGCCACTGGCCACTGGTTATTGGCATACTTTAATTAATCTTGTTCCAGGGAACGCCTGTGTCAGCTTTGATCTCAAATTGTACTAAATATTGTTTATGACTAAACGTTGTAGAGTTTTATAACCATACCTCAGTATGACGTTTATTATAAAATACATTGTTTTAATTCAAATGTTAATTAACATTGACCATATTAAGGAAAAAGAATGTAAAAAAAAAAAATAAAAAAAACTTTTCCCTTTATGTATAAAAGAACTAAGGTTTTCTATTTCAGTAAATAACCCTTTATGTTAAAATATATTAGTTTTTTTTTCAGTAAATGATCTGTGTAGCGGATAATATCAACTTAAGAAGTAAGCGCGACGAAATTCGTTTTAGTTCAAATACATACACGATAAAGCTTTAGAAATTATTTATCTATGCAATCTTTATTAGCATTACATATATGTGTAACACCTTTAACAAATGAATGGCAAATTTAAATCAGGACATATTTCTGGACAATTACGAGTACACAGAACTTTCATATTCGATTTTGGTATGTGGACATGTGGTTGATGTGAGTCAAGGCACCGTCATCGAATGTACGGGGCAATCCTAGCACCCACGCGAAGCGATATCGATCAATTATGACTGTCAAATATATTAAAATACTCCAGATTTAATAACTAAGACGTATAAATCAAATGGCACTAAAATTACTACTTTTCCGGTCGAATTGAAAAATCTAACATTATACATGTGTACATGTGAGTATATGTAGAATAATTTGAAGAAATCGTTTAAAAAAGGTTCGTTTTATTTTCTTTTTCTTATTTATCAGCTTTCTTTATTCCACACAGAAAAAAAGTTATAAAGGAACAAAATATTATACATACATTTCGTTATAAATATTGGGTAAAAAGCCATCTCCAAGTACATTTTCTTTTAACTTTCAAGTATTTGTTTATGATATTACAAAAATTGTTTCCAGCGCTATAATAATGTCACAGCATTAGAACATTAAATTCTAATTAGTCTAATTGTTTATTTTTAAAAGTATCTAAAATAATGTGATTCATTATAAGAAATTTCAAAAATACGGTTCAATATTTCTTGTGAGTCAATGTTTAAAGCTTGAATCACATTAGGTTTAATAAAAGTCAAATTACTCACAATACTTTCAGCGCAATTGACCGCATAATAGCTCTAACCATGCAATTATATAAACTAACGGGATCTATCAATAAGAGTACTAAAATCACTTAAATGATCGATTAGGAATACAAGTTGTGCCAAATTTTGTTA